AATCAGGAATAATAAACACAAATTAAGAAGTAACTGATCCTTAATGGTTTATTCTTCTGTTGTATGTTCTTTTCCTAATTTACACACTATTTTAATTTAGTCTTTCTCCTTTACTAACTACACAATTATAGAATGGACAAATCCAATTTAATTCAGTATAACACACTTTTGACACCTTATTTACAACAGGCACAGAAATCTTTCAGATGTGTACAAATAACATTGAGCCTCTAAAAACATAGCTTCATACATTGTGACTGTGACGTACTTTTGAAAAAATGACAAGACTTTGACAATAGTTCAATAATATATGAAATATGAATGAGTTCCAGAGTGGGTAACAAACTGTTCCCTTTGGACAGTGGTATGTTTAGAAGTTACAATAATTAAGTCACTAATTAATGAATATGATTTTGTTTGTCAACTACCTGCTCAGGCATGCTGTGCCACATGTAATCCACCTGCAGTGGATTTGGAGCTGTCTCCTTTGGATTTCAGATTTGGAGCTGTCTCCTTCTCCTTCTTAATTCTGGACCTTTCTCCTAACATGTGTAGAGAGATAATGAAGGAAATATCACCTAAATATTCCATATCTCTGAACAGTTGTCAGAAACATGGCTAGTCCTTCTCTGTGATCTGTGTATTCTTTGTATTGGGCTCAAGGACATGAAGAAAATCATTTTTATACAGAAAGAAAGGATGGGTGGTAGGAGACAGGGTCCTGATATTCTCCATACTGCAATCCTGTAGGATGGCAAAGACTGAAATGGGTTAATGATCTGCAACTAGTAACTAGCTATTTTAATTTGTATTGGCAAGAAAGGCAATAATCAAATGACTCCTATGGGGATGAATTATAATGATGTTAGCAATAAGCCTTCAAGTGAATTATACTAATTAATTTCTCTGTAGGTCAGCATTATCCATCACCTCCATCATAAAAGACAGCAAAGCCTCAATCCCAGAAACAAAGTTACATTTCAAAAGCTTTTGAGTGGGCATCCAGGGATTGGAATTCATAGCTTTGCTTTCCAAATGGGATGTAGAGTTCACAGAGTCAGGACAAAGCCCAAAGGGTTAGCTCTTTTCCTTCTCTGTAGAGATCCTGCATATGGGAGAGAAGGAGCAATACCTGGAAGGACAGTAGAAAGCTGTAACTGCCATCTTGGCTGGACTTGTGCTGCAAATAAACAAACTTCAGTCCAGAAGGCTCTCTGGTGTGCAACTTTAAAGGCATGAAATTCGCACACACAATGGTGATTCAATAGTCTAGTGCCCAGTAGGATTACTCTTTAAAAATTAAAATAAGATTGAACTTTCTATAAGAGGAAGCAGTTCTGCCCAAGAAATTGGTTTTACTTGGCCTTTTGAAAAAGAGCTAATATGAGTCTCCAGAGAATATATTTTCTCAGAGCATTGTCTTATATTAGTGTAAATGGGTAAAAGAACAATTGGGTAGGAAAGAGAATGTGAGATTTTATTCTTTTTTGTAACATGTTTTTATTTTATATTACATATAATTGATGTGTACCACATAATGTTTTGGTATACATAATGAAATGGTTACAGCAGTGAAGCCAATTAATATATCCATAATGTCACATATTTACCCATTTAAAAAAAACTTTGTGCTAAAAGCATCTAAATTTCCAGGACTCAGTACAATATGAACAGTAGTCCGCATGCTGTGTGCTGGATAGATGTCTAGACTTATTCATCCTACATAACCACAGCTTTGTTCCTTTGACTTACATCTCCACATTATCTAATGTCCCCCTCCCTAGCATTCTCTTTCTCTCCCTCTCAGGCCCCTGGTAACCACCACCCTTCTACTCTCTGTTTTTATGTATTCATTTTTTTTTTAAACAAAAAGACCCTACTTATAAGTGAGATCATTCAGTATTTGTCTTTCTGTGCCTGGCCTATTTCACTTATTATAATAACATCCTCCAATTTCATCTATATTGTAGCCAATGACAGAATCTCTATCTTTGTTAAAGCTAAAATTCCAATTTACGTAGACATTGACATTTATTCATTCCTCCATCAACACTGGGTGGTTCCATATTTTGGCTGCTGTGGAGAAAGATTAATGAATATCGGAGGGCAGTTATCTCATCAACACATAGATTTCATTTCTTCTGAGTCTCTATTCAGAAGAGAAATCACTGGGTGATATGATAGTTCTATTTTACTTTTTTTGAGGAACCTCTCTGCTACTTTCCATAATGGTTGTACCCATTCACATTCCCACCAACAATGTACAAGGATTTACTTTTCTCAACATCCTTGAAAACACTATTTATCTCTTCTCTTTTTGAGAACAGCCATATTAACAGGTAAGACATGATGTCATGCTATGGTTTTGATTTGCATTTCCCTAATGATTAGTGATTGTGAGCATCTTTTCGTTTACCGTTGGCCATGTGTATGCTTTCTTTGGGGGAAATGTCTGTTCAGTTTCTTTGTCCATTTTAAAATTTGACCATTTGTTATTTTGCTATTGAGTTGAATGGTTTCCTTCAACCAATATTGGATATATGGTTTGCAAATGTTTTCTCTCAGTTTGTAGGCTGTCTTTTCATTTTTCTCATTGTTTCTTTGCTACTCAGAAGCTTTTTAGTTTGCTATAGTACAATTTTTTTTGCATTATTTTGTCTGAGCTTTTGTAATATACAAAATCATCACTGCTAAAACCAGTGTCAAGGATTTTTTCTCCCTTGTGTTTTCTTCTAAAAGTTCTCTTTTTTAAAAAATTTAATTGATTTTTATTTTTTAAAATACATGACAGTAGAATGCATTACAATTCTTATTATACATATAGAGCACAATTTTTCATATCTTTGTATATAAAGTGTCTTCACGCCAATTCGTGTCTTTACACATGTACTTTTTTTGCATTACAATTCTTATTACACATATATACCATAATTTTTCATATCTCTATTTGTATATAAAATAGGTTGAGGAATAGGTGAATTATAGATAGGAAAGAGGGGTGAGAGGGGAAGGGAGGAGGGAGGAAATTAGCAAGGATGGTGGAATGTGATGGACATCATTATCCAAAGTACATGTATGAAGACATGAATTGGGTGTCAACCTTCTAGAAGTTCTCTAGTTTCAGGCTTGATGTTTTGGTCTTTAATTCACTAAAAGTTGACATTTTAGTGTGTGACATAAGAGCCTGATTTCATTCTTATGTATGTGGACATTCCCTTTTCCCAGCATAAATTATTTAAGAAATGGTATCTCCCACTGGATCTCCTGTTGGTTCTCTTGTTGAAAATTTGTTGCCTATATAGCTTTAGTTTATTTCTGGACTTTGTATTTGTGCCCTTGGTCTATGTATCTGTTCTTATGCTAGCACCATATTCTTCATTACAATAGCTTTGTAGCATAATTGAAAATCAAGAAGTACAATGTCTCCAATTTCCTTAAAATTGTTTTGGATCTTTGGGGTTGCTTGTGGCTCTGTATAAAGTTTAGAGCTTTTGTTTTTTTTCGTATTTATGTGATGAATGTCATTGAAATTTTGGTAGGGATTACATTGAATCTGTAGATCACATTGAGTTGTATGGACATTTCAACAGGATTAATTCTTCTACTCCAACACAGGATAGGTTCCTATTTATTTGTGCTGTCTTCAATTTCTTTTATCAGTGTGTTAGAGTTTTCACTGACCAGATCTTTTACCTCCTTGGTTAAATTTATTACTAAGTATTTTATTCTTTTTGATGCTTTTAAAAATGGGATTTTTTTCTTCATTTTTTCTTTGGATAGGTTGTTAGTATTGTAAAGAAATACAAATGATTTTTGTTATGTTGATTTTGAATCCTGTGCTGTTAATAAATTTGCTTATTAGTCCTAACAGTTATTTATTTAATGGAATCTTTAGGTTTTCTACACAGTCATGCCATCTGCAAATAAGAATAATTTTTCTTTTTTCTTTCTGATTTGATTGCCTTTTATTTATTTATATTTTAATTTTTTCTTGTCTAATTGCTCTTGCTAGTGTTTATAGCATTATGTTGAATAGATGCTTTGTACCTGATCTTAGAAGAAAAAATTTGAGGTTTCCCTCATTGGTTATGATGTTATTTGTGAGCTTGGCATATATGACCCTAATCATGTTAAGGAAATTTCTTTCAGTATACATATTCTTGAGTCCTTTTATCAAGAAATGATACTGACAATTCATCAAATACTTTCTCTGCATCTACTAAGATAATCATGCAGTCTTTGTCCTTCATTCTGTTTGTGTGGTATATCATATATAGTGATTAAAAGTATGTTAAAGCAACTTTGCATTCAGTTGGCCATGCACTGGTCTCAGTACTGTTGAAGCCTGTAGGTATTTGTAGAAGTGAGGAGGAGATGAAGGCTCTTTCTGTTTATCTTTGTCTCACAGATCTTGACTGAGAGTTGGGCAACACAGGAAAGGTGTTTCCTACACTTTTTTTTTTTTGGTGCAAACATCCTTCTTTCTGTTCTCCACAGGAGTTTTGCTACTCTTTGCTGTACTGTGCTATGCTCCCTTAACTATTTTAATTGGCATGTAGTATTTACTTCCTTTTCTCTATGGAGGAGATAGGATCCTAGTTTATCATCTTTGCTGATGTTACTCCTTGAGAATTCATTCTTTAAGTGATAAGACATTGATCATTTGGTTTTGTTAATCTCAAACAGGATATACAGACACACTTACAGCTTTTCTGCCATTTTAAAGGGCATGTATGGTAATACAATTTATTTGAACAAGATGGAAAACTGCTAATACTAGAAGACTTTTATGTCACATTAGCTCAGGAATTCAACTTCTAGCCATATTGGCTCTGTGAAAAATATGCTTGAGACCTCAATAGCATAATGTATTTAAAATATTGCACAGTTTCCAAATTGAAGGGCACTATGTTCAGACACTCCCCTCCCCAAGAGTACTTGAAGCCATTTGCTATGAATAGCACAAGAGCTCATGTAAAAGTCTTGTGCTTTGGTGCTAGGCCATCTATCTCTGGGAGTTTGTTAGCATTTTATTCCTCAGTGACCATCAGCTTTCTTTGAAGAATAGTATTTGATGTACATCTTGCAACCAATTACAAGATAAAGGCATGTAATTCATGAGTAAGTTGTCTTCATTTTGATAATATGGCTACTTTGGACAGTTGGTTTGAACTTTTATATATGATATTCAGATTGAAATAGTTATTTCTCTTATGTAAAAGTTTCATCAACTCTTCCTGGGACATTGATCAATTTTAGTACTTTTCTGTCTCTCTAGAACTGCCGTATTTTTGGACTACTGTCAAAAAAGACTCTATTGCAATCCTAAGGGCTATATTCAAGGTCATGTGACTGTTTACTGCTTCAATAAAAAGGAACTTATAAATGCAAAATGCTGCTCACTATTTATTCATCTCATGTATTCATGAAATGCTCGTTGGCTTACTGTGGTGTTTGCTTGATATGTATTCCACAGAACACCTTTTGTTTCTGCAAAACTGCACATTATATCATTTTTGCATCTGACACTGACCTTCTTCTAAGGAAATGTTCTAATAACAAAAGGAAGATGAAAAGGCTACAGTGAGGAGCTACTAACCCTTGCAGATTTTCTTAACTCACAGAAAGGAAGGGAGGGAGATTTTGGATGGCACACTGACCTTGACTACTGAGAAATCCAACAGCAAAAACTATTAAACCATAGTTTATTGCCAAATCTTATCATGGTGCTTTCTAGTTTGCTTGGTTATTTTCATGTGAAGTTTCTTTTTACCCAGCAGAGATACATCATGGTTTACATATGTGAAACTCCAAACAGCTATGGGGAAAACCAACATATTTATTCTTTCTCCCATGAGAATTGAGACTAGTGACTTTAAGATTACTTCCTTCTCTTTTCAAGACTTTGGATTTGAAGATTAAAAGAGAGATTTCTCTAAATTCATCAATGTTAGGACTGCATTTGGAAAGTTCTGCTCACTCATTCTCATAATTAATCCCTATAGACTTGAAGTTTTTATCTTAACCCTGGAATCAGTATAAGATCTGGGACAAAACAGATCTCAGTTTGAGTCTGGCTTCATTGCTACTGAGTTGTATGAAATTCATAGATCATTCTCCTCTGAACATTCCTTTTCTCATCTATACAATGCTGATAAAAATATCTACTTTGGAGAATTGTTGTACTTGTGTGTATATAACAGAGACTCAGCAAATATTGGTTCCTTTCTCATTTTCTTTTCCTTTAGCAAGGGGAAAGTAACTTTTCCCACATGTTCATTCACATCTCTGAAGTAGTACTAATCACAATAATATAAATGGAAATTATTGAGCTGTAGTAATGCAACGATATTGTCTTTTCAGACCAAATGCTAATAGCCAAATCAAATGGCCATCAGGTATCTCAGGTATGGTGGCTTTAAGAGACCAAAAGCCCAGAATTTAGATCTGGGTTCCTCCACATCTTAGTTGGGCAACATCTTCCAATGTAAGTCTGATTTCCTCTTCAACGGAACAGGGATTTAAAAAAAAAGAAATTCTAGTAACAATATCCTTAAAGGTTATGGAAGATTAAATTGGGTCATGTGGACAAGTGCTATATATGTTCAGCATAGAGCAGGGACTCAGACACACTCTTCTCAGCACACCTAGACACTTGCTTTTTGGTCAGGACTCTGATGAGTTATGGTCTTGAGGATTATAGGTAGAGACCCAGTGATTCAATCCCACATAATTTAGCCATATTGGTAAAGATGGGGCCAACACCAGAGGAAGCATTTATTATCATCTGTTCACTAAATTATGCCACTTTTGTTTGAGGGTCAGGCTGCCAGCTTGAGTAAATGGTGGCTGCCATGTCACATGTCTGGGTGGCTCCACTTCATCAAGCTAGAAAGGATGCTTAGGATTCCAAGCATGGAAGAGGGAGATTTGTTTTCTCTGCTAATTGCTTGAAGATGAAACTCAGTTTTAAATGATATCAATGTGTGCTACAATGTTTATTAGCATCTCTCAAATCTTTAGTTTGAACACGTTGAGGGCCTCATGGAGAAGCTGTGGGCTTGCTACAGGGCCACAGGGTCAGTGTGCATAAAACAGCAGTGACCTGTGGGCTGATGATGAAGGGTAAACCCCCACTGTGTTCTAGACATGTATTCTCTCCAAAGGTAAATACTGCTGGACAGGAGGAAGGGCTCTCAGGAGTTCATCTGCAGCAGAGCTCAGAGTGGTGACTGTACAGAGATTGGGGGTCAAGGGATCTTGTGTTGTTCTTTGAACAATGGCCTGACAGAGTGCTTATTTTTAACCATTTCCAGAGGGGAGCAACAGAGTCACATGGGAGATTTATTTCTTTTACAACAGAAGTCAATTGGGCATGACACTAATGTATTGTTTCAAGAAAAGTCTAACTCAACTAAATCGAGACTCAGTAGGAAATTTAAAGAGAAGCAATTTCTGTTATCGGTTTTAATGAATACCATTAAGTGATAACCAAAAAGAGAGAAGAAAAAAAGATTAGGGATTGCTCAGAAAACATCCTTCCCACTCTTCTAAATTATCATGACAACACAATCTTCAGCTGTGAAGTTAATTTCCTCCGTAATTACATTCTATTTAGAGGTGCGATTGCTTAGAAACACCCTCCTGGTGAGGGAGCTTTTCTATTCTAGTAAGGGATGAAGAAGAAGGGGTCCCCAGCACCATGTGGCAACTATTTGTTTTCTCTGTTTTACCCTTGGGCACTTGCCCATCCGGGTGTCTTTGGAGTCCCTCCTGTCCCTGTGGCTGCCTCTCATCCTGAGAGCTGTGGGCAGAAGGATTTATGTTGGAGAGACTCTCAGGAGAAATCTTCATCAGCAGGATGTGAATGGTACTTGCCTTGGGTTCTAGGGGCTCTCCCAAAGCACTCAATGCTTCCCCTGTCCCCTGGATTGCATGAAGGAGAGTTGAAGGGACCCTGGCCTTGCTATTACAGTTGTGTAGGTGAGAGGGCTGTGTACTTAGAAAAGAAATCTTATTTACAAAAAAGTTAATGCTGGTCTTCAGCTTTTAGGAAGCAGTCAAATCATTGCAAGCCTGATTGTACAATGACATGAATGAATGTATTTTAACATTTCCATCACCCAAATCCTTGCTTATAAGCATTTCTTTCACAGTCCTTGGAGTGGACGGGGGAGGTGTGGGGGCGGTGGGGAAGCAAAATTACCACAAAACAGGCTTTCTGTCTTTGAGTTGTCATGAGGTCTTCACCCTAAGGACTAAACAACAACAAACATAAAAGCTAGGGCAAGATAGTTTGATACGATGTAGGCCAATTTCCTATTTTCAAACCACCAGAAAAAAAAAAAAGAAAAAGAAAAAAAAAAAGAAATGAGGACATAGGATTCTGATAAATGATCCTAAGAGATAATCCCAAGGTCCTTTCCCATGTTTCACGCAAGATCAGACAGTGCTCACCACAGTCCTGAGTCCAGCTCGCGGAGCCTCTAATTCTATTACTGCCTCATCCAGGCACATTATTTTTGCTCATTAAAGAGATGGCATCATAATGGAGCATGCGGCAGCCAGAGTGATTAGCAAAGCGCCTCCTTCCATTCTTCAAAATGTCATCAACACACTGGTCAGGAAACAAACTCATTTTCTGACTCTGCCATGATTTGCAGGGTTTCAGGCACTGATGATAGCTTGTCTGCTTGGTTTAAAAGAGCTCCTGATATAACAGAACCTGACACTGTTTACTTCAGCCTATTATGCCTGCTGCATTCACTGAATGCTTCACTGGAGAAGAAAAATCGAAAGAAGGCTATTCATTGTAATGCCAGCTGCTTTTTAAAAAAGGAAATCAATTTTTGCTTGAGCTCAGAATGTACTCCGCAGGTCCAGAGTGACCTACCACTTTTGATGTCAACAACAAAAGGATCTGCCTGAATTTTCCACCACAATCACCCAACAGCTCAAAGAACATTGAAAATCCTAGATTAGTTTCATTTTAGTTTATGTTCAAATTGGTATCCACTCATCCCAACAATATCACAAAATACAAAGGCCTGGGTGACACAGCCCCTGAAAGGCAAGTGCTAGGGGAACTCTGGGCTTTGCCTTCTCTGCCGGGTTTGTTATAAATTACTTGGCAGGACCATTTTATGACGGAAATAATTAGTTATGTTTAGTATTTATAGCTAGTATCATGATGCCTTTCTGCACTGCTAATTAATTATTTTATGGCCAGTATGTTTCAAATGCAATTAGTTAGGTATGGCAATGATCATAATATTTTGCATATTCATGACAACATTCTGCCTATTTACAGCAAAACTTGGGTGTCAAAATCAGTTATTTTCCTTTTATTATTAGGCAGAATAATTACAGGAAACAATAACAATGATGTCTTGCATGTGAATAATATTTTACAACCGAGCACCTCCATTCATGTCCCCCAAGCTTGCACCCCTGTGGTTTCTCATAGGGAAATGGAAACTCCATATGGTGACAAGTTTTGGCTGAGTCTTTAGCCAGCTTGAAGGTCACCAACGGAGGCTTTTGCTCTTTTTACATGTAGTTGGAGCCTGATTTGGGGCTCTGGGATGGACTGTTTTCTAAAAAAGGAGTGTTGAGAAAGAGAATATTTGGGCCGAATAAGGAAACAAAGGAGTCAGTTGGTCCTCTGTCGCTTTGAACAAAGCCCCCAATTTTTCCTTCACTTTTACTATTATTATTTTTACAGTAGGCATGGAGTTGCCTCTAAACAAATAGAAGCAAAACCTCCTTACTTTTTCTGTGTTGGGGGGCTCGGAAGACACATTGAATTATTGTTTAACCAGACTCTGTATCAAGCACTGCTGTATTCGACACTGTCTCGTGTCGAACTATTGAGCACTTCTTAAATCCTGAGAGTCTAGAAATAGTATTGCCCTGCAAAGCCTGGGAATGTTCTCAATTAGCTTGAGACAAGATCAATGACATATGCTCTCTTCCAGATCTGTGACTATTTCTCTTCCCTTTAACCCTCCCTGACTAGTCATAATCCTCCATTTCCTTTTTTCCATATGTGTCTGCAAAGTGCTGAAATGGCGAAAATCAAGAAAAATATTATCCACTCATAACTGAGATTTAGTTATGAA